GATAATATTAATAATAAAAGATATGATAACGATGATGATGATGATTATGATAATTATAATTATGATGATAATGTTGATGATTTTAATAGAGATGACAATAGTAATGATATTAACTATAATGACGATGGTGACTGTTATTTTATTAAGTGTGATGATATAGATAATGATTGTTATTAGAGTAAGGATTATGATGATAATGTTGATCATGATAATAATAATGATAATAATAATAATGATAATTACTCTAATTAGGAAGATGAAAATCACGATGATAATAACAATGATAATGATAAAAATAATAATAATACTGATAGTTATGTTCATGATTGTTAAAATAATGATAATAATGATTATGATAATTGTAATACTAATACTTGGTATTGAAATGATGAAAATATTAATGACTATGATGATAATAATTATTAGAATGATAATAATAATAATAACGTTAATGATGATGATAATAATGATGTCGATGATGAAATCGATAAAAATGATTATCATAACGGTGATTATAATAATTGTGCTAATTATTACTGTAATGATAATGGTGAAAATGGTGGTGATAGTTAATGATGATAATTACGACAGTAGAAATGATGATAATGATGAAAATAGAAATGATAATAATGATAATGATGATGATAATGAAAATTGCGATGGGAATGGTTTTGATGGTGATGGTGATGATGATGAAGATAATAAATATGATTATTATTATGTTAATGGTAAAGATAAAGATAATAATGATAGTAATAGTTGTAATAATAATAATAATAATAATAATAATAGTAAAAATGATAATGATAACAACCATAATGAAATCAATAATGAAAATAATAATACTAATATAGATAATTATTATAATAATGATAAAGATCATAAAGATAATGATGTTTCTAATGATGATAATAATTATGATAATACTGATGATTTTTATCGTAATTATAATAATGATAATAATAATGATAGTAGTGATCTTGATGGTAACAAAAGTGGTGCTTTAAATAATCAAGTTAGTTATAATGATAATAGAGATGACGATGATGATCATAATGGTGATGGTTATGTTGGTGATGGTAATGATAATGTTACCAATGATGATGATAATAGTGATAATGATATTGATAATGATTATGGTAATAATAGCAAAAGTTATAATGGTGATAATAATGATGATGATAAAAATATTAATATTGATGTTGTTAATAGTTATAATGGTTATAGTTAAAATAATAATGTCAGTTATAATGATAGTAATAATGACGGTTTTGATTTTGATAGTGATGGGTATGTTGGTGATGGTGATAATATTGTTACATATNTTTAATAATAATAATAATGATTATGATAGTTATGATAATGATGATTATGGTATCAGTGATAATAGTAATAGTTATGATGGTAATGGTGATAATGATTAGAATCTTATGGATAATATTTATGGTGATGGTAATGATGGTGATGATTATGATTATAATAATTAATGTTAATAATGATAGAAATAATGACGATAATAATGGTGATAATAATGATGATAATGATGATATGAATAATGATAATGATGATTATGATAATGATGAAAATGATGATAATGATAATGATGATGATGATAATGATAATGATTATATTGATGATGATAATGGTAATGCTCACGATAGTGATGTTGATGATATTGATGGTAATAGATATAATGGTTATGGTGATGATGATAATAATGATGGTGATGATGTCAATGGTAATGATTTCGTGAATAGTTATGATGGTGGTTGTGAAAATATTCATGGTGATAATGCAAATGATGATTTTAATAAATATACTGATAAAGATAATGATAATCATAGTAATAATTATAATGATGATGATGATGATGGTCATGGGGATGATAGTTATAGTGATGATGATAATGATAATGTTGATATAAATGATAATACTTATATGAATATTAATAAAAATACTCGTAATTAAGACAATATTAATGATGATGATAATAGTGAAAATAATGATGATAGTAATTACGTTGATAATAAGAATGATTATAATAATAATAATGATAATAATAATGATGATAATGATAATAATAACAATGATGAAAATAATAGTTGTAATGATGGTGATGATAGTAAAGGTTATTATGATGCTAATAATATTGATGAGAATTATGATAATAATGACAATTATAATAAAATAATGATAATGATAAGGATGTTAACAATTATGATGATCAATAGTAATTATAAGAACGATAGGGATAATGATGGTGATGATGTAATGAATAATTATAATGTTAATAGATCTGAAAAATAGTGGTAATATTAACGATGGCGATGATAATTATAGCAACGATTAAAACGATGATGAGAATCAAGAAGAGATGATGCCGATGATTATCATATTGATAATAATAGAGAAGATGATGACAATAATAATTATGACATAAATGATGATAATAAGGATAATGATGATAATGATAGTTCTGATGATGAAGATGATGAAGATGATGATAATAATGATAATAATGACTATTATAATGACGATAATGATAATGATGATTATAATGACGATAATGTTAATGATGATAATGATAATGATGATGGATTTGGTTACGATGGTAATGGTGATGTTAATGATGGTTATACTAAAAATAGAACTGGTGACAATGATAATATTGATGGTGATGCTGTTAATGTTAATGATATTGTTAATAGTTATTATGGTGAAATAATAATGATGAGGTCCTGATGCGTATGCTGATTAGAATAAAGATGATGATAAGATCAAACTACTATTAAAGCGGATAATAGTGATGAAGATAATGATGATAGGGATATTGATAATTATAATGATCATGATAATAATGATGATGATAGTGGTGATGATAAAAAAGATGATGATAATGACGATGATCGTAGTAATATGGATGATAATACTGATGATAATAAAAATTAAAATACTGATAATGATGACAATTTTTTTCAAGATAATAATGGTAATAAAATTAAAGGTAATGATGATAATCGTCATTATTATTAATGAGATAATAATAATAATAGTAATGATAAAAGTTACGATATTAAGGATGATAATCACAATGACGAAGATAATGGTTTGGTTATTAAAGTTATATTTTATAGCAATGATGATGATGATACTATTGATATTGATGATGATAGTAAAGATAATGATAATGAGAAAGATGTTGATAATGATAGTATTAATAAAAATAATGATAATTATAATAGCATTGATGGTAACGATAGTAATGCTTATAATGATGATGATACTGATTATAATGAAAAGGATAGTGATAATTTAAATAATAAAAATAATAATGATAATGATAATAATAATGATGATGTAGATAATGTTGACATAAATAATAACACTGATGATGATAATGATTATAATGATAATAATGACGATAATAATGATAATAGTTATAGTGATTTAATTAAAATGATTGTTATAATAATGATAACGATAATGATATTGCTTATGGTAATAAGGGTGATATTTAAAATAATGATAATAACGCTAATGATATTGCTGGTACTGACGATTATAAAAGTAATTATAATGATTGTTGTAATAGTGATAGTAGTGATGGTAATAAGGGTTATGGTTATGATAGTAATGATAATGATGATGATAAATATAGTTATAGTAATGATGATAATGATAAAAATGATGTTAATAATAATTAATAACACAAGAATGATAATGACGATGATGATAATAAAGATAACAATAGTGATATCAATAATAGTGAAGATAATATGGATGTTAATGATAATAATGATCATAGTGACGATAATGATAAAAACAATGATGCTTATGATCATAATGATAGTAATAAAATGAACAATAATTATGATGGTAATTGGTAAAGTGGTGATAGGGGTAATAAAAATAGTTATTGTGATAATGATGACAATAACGGTGATGATTTTAATGGTGTTGAAAATGATAATAGTAATAATATTAAGTCTGGTCATGATACTGATGAACATAATAATGGGGAAGAAAGTTATAATAGTAATGGTCATGACGATGATGAAGATGCTATTGTTGATAATAAGAATATAAATAATAATGATAATAAGAATAATTTCAATGATTTTAATCATAGTGCATGTAATAATAATGATAATAGTGATAATAATAAAAACGGTAATGAAGATAACGATGCTGGTAATGATAATTATAGTAAAAATAGTTATGATGATGCTGAGAATGATGATATCAATGGTAATAACAATGAAGATATTGATTATGATAATAATGATAAAATTAATAATAAAGGTGTTGAAAATAACTATGATGATGATGACGATGATGATGATGATGATAATAATTATAATGATGATGATAATGATGATGATGATGATGATAATAATTATAATGATGATGATAATGATGATGATGATGATGATAATGATGATGATGATAATAATGATGATGATAATGATGACAAAAATGATGATGATGATAATGACGATAAAGATATCGATGATAATGATAATAAAGATAATCACAATCATAATGGTTATGGTGATGATTATAATGATAATATAGATGATTATAATAATAATAATAGCAGTAATGACTATGACGATAATAATGACAGTAATGATAATAATGGTGATGACAATGTAAATAGTAATTTTAATAATTTTGTTGATGGTGATAATGGTGATGGTTATAATAATGATGATAATAATGTTTTTAATAATAAAGATTATGGTGATCCGTTTAATGGTGATAATGATGATAATGATAATTATCGTAATAATGAGAACGTTGATAGTGATGACGTTTGTGATAATGATAATGATAATAATGATTTAAATGATGGTTATGGCGATGATGATAATCATGTCGATAATAATAATAATAATAAAAAGAATGACGCTGATGATAATGATGATGATTCTGATGATAATGGTGGGTATAATTATTGTCATGGTGGTTATGATAATGATAAAGGTGTTGATGATAATGGTGATTTGGATCATGATGTTGATGATGATATAGATAAAAGAAATGATAATAATAATAATAATATCAATAATATTGGTGAGTATAATGACCATAAAAATGGTAATTCTTTCGATAATGATAATATTGGTCATGAGAATGATAATTATTATTATGATGATAATAATGGTTTTAATGATGGTGATAGTAATGGTTGTAATGATGGTAATGGTAATGGTGACGATGGTGATAATAAAAATTATGACCAAAGTGACAATAGTGATAATAATGATTTAAATCATGATGATGATAATGGTAATGGTCATAATTATGATGATTATGACAACGGTAATGTGGATACTGATGATTAGAACGATGTTCAAGGTAGTGATAAAATTGATGATAGTAAAAATGATATAGATAATGATGAGAATAATTATTATGAAAATCGTAAAAATTATAATTATAATGATGATGATGATGATGATGATGATGATGATGATGATGATGATGATGATGATGATGATGATGATGATTATAATAAAGGTAATAATGGTGTAAATAGTGATGTTCATAATAATGATAATAATAATTTTAATAAGAACGTTAACGTTGATAATAATGATGATGGTAATGTTAATAATTGTAATAGTACTAATGGTTATAATAATAATAATGATAATGATAATAGTCGTAATAATGATGTTAATCACAATAATGTTGATTGCAATGATGATGATGATAATAATTATGATACTAATGCTAATAAAGATAACTATTGTTATGATCGTGATGTTGGTTGTTATAATGTTAATGGTGATATTTAAGATAATAATAGTAATGATAGTAACTATGATAAGACTGATGATGATGATGATTATGACGATAATAATGATAATGATTATGATAATAATGAGTATAATGATTATAATGATGTTGGTGGTAGTAGCTATTAGGGTGATAGTGTTGTTGATTGTGATAATGATAATAATAATGTTGATAATGGTGGTGATGATAATGATAATGATAATGATAATGCTTATACCAATACTCATAATGATGATGGTGACCATAATGATGATAAAAATTATTATAACAATGATAACGATGATAGTTGTGAAAATGATAATGATAATGATGGTGGTAATAATAATAATAATAATGATGATGAAGATGATAATGATAATGATGATGATAATGGTTATGGTGAAGATAGTTTTGGTAATAATAGTGATGGTGATGATGATGATGATATCGATAATGATACTGATGAGTATTACAATGATGATGATATTGGTGATAATGATGATAATTATAATTATAATGATAATTGTTGTTATATCAGCAATGATGATAATGGGGATTGTTATGATAGCGGTGGTGATAACTAAAATGATGATAGTGATGATTGTAACAATAATGATTTTTAAAATGATGATAATAATGATGATGTTAATGATAATCATGATAATAGTAATTATGTTGGTGATTCTAATGATTTTAGTTACTATGATGACAATAATAATGCCGGTTATGGTTATGAGGGTGATATTGTTGATGATAACGATGTTAATTATGTTAATGATAATATAGATGATGATGATGATAATGACAAAAAAGATTATGAAGACGGTCATAGCAATTATAATAATGATGATAATGGTAATGATGATAATAATAATAATGATGATGTAGATAATGTTGACATAAATAATAACACTGATGATGATAATGATTATAATGATAATAATGACGATAATAATGATAATAGTTATAGTGATTATAATTATAATGATGGTAATGATAAT